TTTTGCTTCTGAGTACTTTTTCTAGTCTTATACTTCTATATGGCTTCTCTAACAGACTATCTATCATTTTTTTCTGATTTTTTATCACCATTTCAAATCTTTGCTCAATAAAATCTTTGATCTTTTCTTTTTTTTCTGTGCATCTTTTTGTTTGCCACCTTTTGTATATAATTTTCCACCATACTTCTAGGCTTTTATGGTTTCTTAAGTCAGCCAGCTCTGGTAAATCTCATTTTGCCTTGATCTTCAGTATGTATCTCTTAAATTTCTTTTTTTCTTTTCATATTAGATTTGTATACTCTGCCTTCTTTATTTTTCTGCACCATTTACTAAGTATTCAAGTTTCTAGCCGTAGTTTTCTTACTGTTTCACCATGCTCTAATGCTGACTTCAGTTTTAGTAGTTTTTTCTTTTTGGGTAAAGTACTGAGTACTGCTTTTCTTATCAATGTCTCAATTATATCCCATATACAGTCTATATCTAGCATATTAAATTTTTCTTCCTCTTGTCATATCCTTTCTTGATAAGTTGCTGTTTCTGTTCATATACTTGGAGCTTCTTTCTTTTGGTCCATTATGCTTTTTATATCTTTTCATAATTCTTCTTCAAGCCTGAATCTATAATTCTTCCAATCTTCTTTATTTGTTTTATCTATATCAATGTTTATTTTCTTTTTTTCTAGACGTCTTATTCTTGCTTGATTTCTTATTCTTAAGTCTATTCCTGTTTCTAGTTTAAGTACTACTGTTTTGTGATCACTTTCTGTTATCCTTTAAACCGTCTAGCGAGCAAATTTGGCCGCTAAAATTTTTTTTTATCTGTTTTTGTGCAATTGCACAAAATTTGTTTAAACAACCTCCTTTTCTAAGATAAAATAAATGGTTACTATTTTGAGGATCAGCCTGTGATTTTACCTCACATGTAGTAATACAACGATAATTTAACAATCAAATAAAATATGATTGTGATTGATATTTTCAAAAATCAAAAAATTTTCTTTAAGTGTTGCAAAGTTTCTTTTATATATCAAGTGCGTCATCTTCAAGTTCATCTTTAAACTTACCTCTCTCTACAACAACTGAGTTACTTAGTGACGACGAAGAAGAATATGTACCACTTCTAACGTCCTGCAAGCGTTTTTTTTTGGACAACCCTGAATCAGATAATGAGAATGACAATGATGAAAATGGCGACAATGACGACGATAATGACACTAAAAGTATCATTAAGAAGGGTTACAAAAAATCAAAAGCTATACAAGAACTGCCATCTTCACCTTCAAGCTTTGAACTATTGGTTCATTTAAAGGCATTGCACCGGGCATTTGTTAATGTGCTATCACATCATGAAGTCAGTTTTTCAAAGCCGGTTAATCTTTTTTTTCTTTTTTTTACAAATGCTTTATTGGATAAAATAGTTGCTAATACAAATTCATATGCGTTAGTTAAAGGTGCCAGAAACACTGGCAGGAAATGAAAGAATATTAATCATAGGGAACTTATTATTTGGATCGCTATGGTCATTTATCAGGTGATTTTTAAGCAACCTTCTCTTGAACAATATTGGTCTGAGAATCCGAGGTTCCTACCCACTATATTTTCAAACAAATGACGTTGAAATGTTTTGAGCAAGTCAAGAGATATTTGCATATCTTTTCTTTTGCAGTAACGGGTAAGAATTACTTTGATAAATTAGAGCCTTTGCTTTCACACATCCAGGATGTTTCAAAACAGTTTTATACCCCAGGTTCAAACGTCTCGGTTGATGAGATGATGATAAGATTTTCCAGTAGAAGTGTTTATACTGTTAGAATTAAAAACAAATCAACTCCAGAGGGGTATAAGGTTTTGTCACTTTGTGAATCTGGATATACATACACTTTTTTGATGACATCGTGTATTTCTTCAAGTGATATTGCGAAAATAAATGGCCTTAATCAAGTTGGAAGTCTGGTTCATCATCTCATTTCACAGCTTCCATATCACCATTTGTCATTTAATATTTACATAGATAACTACTTAACTAATGTTCCTCTTTTTCAAAATCTTCAGCAAATCAGCATTGGTGTCTGTGGCACTGTCCATAAAACAGCTTTCAGGTTTCCAAAGGAACTTAAGATTGATAAGAATACTTGATTCAATTGGGACGTACGTTCTAATGTTGAAACAAATGAGGTATTAGCTGTGTTTTGGCAAGACAATGGTCCAGTGACAATATTATCAATGATTCATGGTCTCGTTGGTGAAGAATGAGAAATAGAAAGAGAGAGATGGTGGCCTTGTACAATCAGTACCAATGCAACCAAAGTTCATGTGGTATTTGGATCTGAATCAAAAAAAATATTAAAAATCCCCAAGATAATCGATGATTACAACCACCATATGAATGGTGTGGATGTTGCAGACCAACTACAATCATACTACAATATACAACAAACGGTACGAAGAAAT